TCATTCTCCCACAGAGGCACTGGTAGGTTTGAACAGCTGATCTTTCAGTTGGCAGCCAAGTGCTTAATCAATGTTCCACTGATAGCCCTAGATTACCTAAAGCCCTGGAGCTATAAGGACCCCCAGCTGCATCTGTCCTTCTGAGTTCTCTGACCCAGAGTTTCCTCACTTTGCTTCAGGAGGACTTCTCCAAGACTAACTTAAGCACCCTCCTCCTTTCTCCTCTTCCCAGGCTTTTTCATGCCCTCTTTCCCCAACCTTTTGGTTAGCAGTCAAACTCTTAACCACTGCACCACCAGGGCTCCATCAAAAGTAACAAAGGTGTAGGGATTCAGAAATTTCACATCAATCTTAAAAGAAACTATTCAGTGTTCCACCTCCAATGGTGGCAGGCTAGCCTGTTTCAGACCAACCCTCCCTCCAAGAACAACTACAAAATGCAGTCAATAGGTAAGAACATCTGCTTGAAGGCACTGGAGCCACCAAGGTAGTGAGGACTTGTTGGAGCGAGAGTCTAGAAAGACGGTGATCCCAGATGTGTGGGCCCAATATTTGGTAATAGTCTTCAAGGCATTTGTCAAGTTAAGTGTGGTGACTGAGAGCCTGAGAAGCTGAGCAGGGCTTTTGGCAGACTCTACTGGCTGAAAGCAGAGAATACCAGAAAGATGTTTACCTTTATTTTACTGACTACACAAAGGCATTCGACTGTGTGGATCATACAGAATACCAACTAATGGACAATACATAAGTGGTAACTTTGGTGAAGGGTAAGACGGTACACAATACTGGGGAAGCCAGCACAACTTGTACAAGGAAAGGTCATGGAAGCTCCATAGACACATCCAAACTCCCTGAGGGACCAAATTGCTGGGCTGAGGGCTGTGGAGACCATGGACTCAGGGAACATCTAGCTCAACTGGCATAACATAGTTTATAAAGAAAATGTCCTACATTCTACCTTGGTGAGTAGCATCTTGGATCTTAAAAGCCTGTGAGCAGCCATCTAATGTACTCCACTGGTCTCATTCCTTCCAGAACAAGGGAGTGTGAAGAGAACAGGATACAAGGGAATGATTAGTCCGAAGGACTAATGGACCACAGCTACCAAGGCCTCCACCAGACTGAGTCCAGTACAACTAGATGGTGCCTAGCTACCACCACTGACTGCTCTGACTGGGATCACAACAGAGGGTTCTGGACAGAGCTGGAGAAGGATGTGGAACAAAATTCTAACGCACACAAAAAAGACCGGATTTACTGGCTTAAAGGAGACTGGAGAAACCCCGAGAATATGGCCCCCAGACACCCTTTTAGCTCACTGGGGAAGTCACTTCCGAGGTTCACCTTTCAGCCGGGGAGTGGACAGCCCCATAAAACAAAACGGGACTAATGAGGCACCGCAGTCCAGGGACAAGGACTAGAAGGCAGAAGGGGACAGGAAAGCTGGTGATAGGGACCCACCGTTGAGTATGGATAGTGTTGATGTGTTGTGAAGTTGTTAACCATTGTCATAGGACAACATGTGTACTAACTGTTTAATGAGAAGCTATTTTGTTCTGCAAACCTTCATCTGAAGTGAGAATAGCAGCACAACTGAAAGAACGTAGTTGATGTCACTGAACTGTCCATGGAGAAATTTTTGAAATGGTGTATCTTTGGCTAGGGATATTTTCACCAAAAAAAAAAAGGTCGAGAAGGGGGAAGGTTGACATGTCATGGGTTTGTTAACCAGTGTCATAAAACAATATGTGTACTACTGTTTCATGAGAAACTATTTGTTCTGTAAACCTTCACGTGAAGTACAATAAAAAAAAATTAAAAATTAAAAAAATTTAAAAATAAAATAAAATACTCCACTGGTCTCACCCCTTCAGGAACAAAGGAGAATGAAGTAAACAAGATACAAGGGAAAGATTAGTCCAAAGGACTAATGGACCACAGCTGCCATGGCCTCCACCAGACTGAGTCCAGCACAACTAGATGGTGCCCGGCTACCACCACTGACTGCTCCAACAGGGATCACAAAAGAGGATCCTGGACAGAGCTCGAGAAAAATGTAGAACAAAATTCTAACTCACAAAAAAAAGCAGACTTACTGGCCTGACAGAGACCGGAGAAACCCTGAGAGTATGGCCCCCAGACACCGTTTGAGCTCAGTAATGAAGTCACTCCCGAGGTTCACCCTTCAGCCAAAGATTAGACAGGCTCATAAAACAAAACAAGGCTAATGGGGCACAACAGCCCAGGACAAGGACTAGAAGACAGGAGAGGACAGGAAAGCTGGTAATGGGGAACCCAAGGTCGAGAAGCGAGACTGTTGACATGTCGTGGAGTTGTTAACCAATGTCATAAAACAATATGTGCACTGACTGTTTAATGAAAAACTATTTGTTCTGTAAACCTTCATCTAAAGTACAAAAACAAAAGATCATTTTAAAAAGAATACCAACTAAGATGTTTCAACAAACGCATGCAATGCTGGAAGCACTCACTTGTCTATGCCAAGAAATTTCATTACCTCGCCAACCAACTGAATCCATATTTGTGCCCATTCCAAAGAAAGGTGATCCAATATAATTCAAAAATTATTGAACAATATCATTAATATCACATCCAAGGAAAGTTTTACTGAAGATAATTAAAAAACAGTTGCCACAGTACATCGACAGGGAACTGTTAGAAATTCAAGCCAGATTCAGAAGAGGATGTGGAACAAGGGATATCACTGCTGATGTCAGATGGATCTTGGCTGAAAGCAGAGAATACTAGAAAGATGTTTACCTATGTTTTATCAGTTTCGCAAATGCATTCTACTGTGTGGATTATAACAAATTATGGATAATATCGCGAAGAATGGAAATGACAGAACACTTGATCATGCTCATGCAGAACCAGTATATAGACCAAGAGGCAGTCATTCCAACAGAACAACGGGGTGCTGCATGGTTTAAAATCAGGAAAGGTGTGTGTCAGGGTTGTATCCTTTCACCATACTTATTCAATATGTATGCTGAGCAAATAATCCAAGAAACTGGACTATATGGAGAAGAATGCGGCATTAGGACTGAAGATGCGCAAACTCCTACTTGGGGATCGAAACCCTCCAGTTGGATAAGAAAACTCAGACCCTACTCCCATCTCTACCTGAGCTCTTCTTCCTCCAGATCACAACTGCAGCCACCACAGCTCCAACAAACAGCAGTCCAAAGACAACCAGGCCAGCAACAATTCCCATGATGGACTGAGGAAGTGGCTCTGGGAAGAGAAGGGAAGGCGAAGGGTCCTGACCGACAGTTCTCAGCCCCAACCCTGCTGGAAGTCTCCAGAAAGGCTCATGCTTTCCGAAAAAAGGCTCCGCCCCCATCCCCTTTTACCCCATCTCAGGGTGCGAGGCTCAGTCAGCCCCTCGTGCTGCACACGACATGTGTATCTTTGCTCCTCTCCAGAGGGCACCACAATGGCTGCCCACTTCTGGAAGGTCCCATCCCCCGCAGGCCTGGTCTCCACAAGCTCCACGTCCTGGGTCTGGTCCTCCTCGTCCCGCTGCCAGGTCAGGGTGATATCCGCTGGGTAGAAGCCCAGAGCCCAGCACCTCAGTGTGGCCTCACGGTC